TATATATAATACATATATATAATTATATAGAATTATTCTATAGAATTATTCTATATTCTTCTATTATATCTATGTTCTTCTTATTATTCCTATATTCTATATTCTGCCTATATTCTTCCCACGTGGCCTGGCCCTTCTTCCACAAGCTGTACGCTCTTTTATCCTCATTACCTTTGTCTAGCAGCTCCTTGCCCATCCACACAGGTCTCCTGCCCCGCTTACTCAACTTCCTTCTTGCGGGCATGCACCGACCCTGAGCTTGGAGGAAGTGGTGCTTGAAYAWTAGCCAGCTCTCCTGGGCCCCCTTTCCTTGTAGATCCTGACCCAAGAGTTATTCCTCCAGGAGCTCCCTGAAGSGGTCAAAGTTGGCTCTCTTGAAGCCCAGGGTTGCACTCCTACTTCTCGTCCAGCTTGCTCCAYGCAGGATTGTGAATTCCAACATCTCGTGGTCACCGCAGCCCAGACTGCCCCCAAYCCTTGCGTTTCCCACTAGACCATCTCTGCTTCTTAGTATCAGTTTGTTAGTATCTCTGTTAGTTACAGCTCATCGTTGGGATGATGAGAGATACAAGATTTTCTCCTTTTGTGACCACTTTTTCTATCTTCTTTTGAAGCACAGAGATTTGTCTAAAGGGAGAGATGAGAAGTGTGCTCTCAAGTCTCAGGAAGACTCAAAACTCACACCTTCACAGCATGAAGTGGCAGGGGAAAACTCAYCAGACCGGTAAGATCCTTATCACAAATTGTGAGTCCACACTGCTGAACAGCAAAGCATCAAAATCTCCCTGWTCTTGTATGATGATGTTGCCACCTGACCACTAATTAGGTGGCCTGTCACAGAGTGACAGAGAGTTACTGATCACTCCTGCTCAGGAATAACTTCAAATTGTTCAGGCCTATTTGCTCTCCTAACCTTACCACAGATTACTTGGATTAGTTTAGCATAGAYGCTGAGGAGTTCATTCTCCTACTCCTTCCTCAGCAAAAGAGCCTCAGTTTTCCCTAGCTGTAGAAAGCACAGTGGTATTTAAACTTCTAAATTCCCATCAGCCGATGCTGTTGAAGCTTCAACTCTTTGTCATTAGGGCTGCTACAYGATGGAGGAAGAGTTTTGATGCCTCTGCTTAGACCATTTTTGAGTTACCAGGCCGTATCGATCCCACTTTCACACATTCCCAACTGATTATTGTAGTTTAAAAATGCAGGGATGTGCAAGAGCAGTTTCCACACTCCCTGATATTTTGCAGTATCTTTTTTTATTATTATTATCCATGCTATTTCTTTTTTGTGTTGCACTTCAAAAACACTCCTTGCTGCGGTGTCAGTGACTGTTTGCTGCCTATCTCAGTTTACACGTCTCAATCTTTTCTCCTCCAGCGTAAATGCCCCCAACTTTAAGACTGTCTGAATGTGGGGATAAGTGCACACATAAATTAAAATGACTGAAATGAATGTTAGCATGCAATCTCCAAGATAGTGAATTTGTAGGTTTATTTTGAAGATCCTTTCAGATATTGGGGTTTCAATCTCTTGTAACCACCATCTCTGACCACATTGTCCCTTTATGCTTTCTYGTTTATTTCAAAAGAGAGAAAAACCACAGTGGAAAATGAGGGCAAGATAAACAAAGCAGGGCAGGAAGCTGAATGGGTCTCATGGCCCATGCCGGGAAGGGAAAATTCTGCATTACAAGTTCCATGACGACACAACCGAGATCTGGGTCAGTTTTGTTCCCCCAAGCCCCACCACAGAAATGACTTCCTCTGGAAAGTGGAGCACAAAAATACAGGGTAGTGGGAGCGGGGCTGGTGTGGCACGCAGCAAGAACTCATAAAARCGTGCGGGAGAAGAGAGCAGATGTTAGACCACAAGCCAAAGTGAGACAGGGTTAAGATGCCCACCCTTCCTGCCCTCCTACCACAGCCTAATCTTGGATTAGGCTCTGGTAATCTTGGGTAGAAAAAGTTGTGGGCAGAACAGAAAAGATGGAGCCACGTATAGTGTAGCTGGAGGAAAGAAGGGTAGAAAAGAAATTCAAGAGACTGTTGGGTGGGGTTTGCATTTGCTGATAGGTGTCTGTACCCCATTATGTAGGCAATGAATCTGTGCAGGAAAACCTTACTTCCACCTAGTCGAAAGAGAAAGGGGGCAAAAGCAGCAGGGCAGACAGGCGTGTCTCACACTGGCAGGGAAAAGGTTGCCGTGGTCCATGCTGCCCGCCTGCCCATGCCATTTCCAGTCCCCTAATTCCTAATTATGGAATGGTTGGAGATCAGTTTGCATCTTTTGCAGGGGCTTTGCGAAGAAACACCCTGTTCTCTAGCCTTCTTTTACAGAATGAACAGGGACTGTAACATAGTMTTTMYAAGGAGCACAGGCTGAAGATCCTTATAGATTTTTTGAAGCTCATTCAGCTGTAGAAGTAGCTCTAATAATATCTGAAGTCTTGGACTGAAATCTTGGCAACAAGAGGCACTGAAAGTCAGTAAAAGTCAGAAAAACAAGAACATTCATAATACAATTCTTCTTTCACATGCTCCTGTGCAGCTTGCACAAGTGGCCACAAGGAGGCCCAGCCTACAAGGTTCTCTGTAAGACAGAGGGACAGGGTAGACTGAACTGCACAAACCCACAAGGAGGCACTCAGTTTACAAAATACCAACAGCAGGAATGGCAAAGGAGAGACCCCCAGTTTKTTCCTCCTCCTATGGASAGGTTAGCTCTGTCTGTCACCTGCCTRGCTCTTCTCATGCCACCCAGTCCCATCCTTGCTGCCCTCCAGCACCCTAACWCCAGTTCAGAGTTCCCCCTTTCAGGAACAAGCACAGCTTAACGCTCTGGCAGAGCTAAGAGCTGGCACAGTTCCTCTGTTCTCAGCACAGACCGGTACAGCACCTTATTCAAGAGAAGAACAAGCCCTGTGCCCTCAAACCTCTTCAGACTCTACATCAGGCACGGATTTAGAAGCTCCAGGTTTCCAGCTCTTATGGACTTCATGGCTGCAGCACAGCCAGAAGTGCTGAAAGGAAGAACAGGAGCCATTAATTAGCCCCAAGAAGCTGAAGCTACTGAAGCCCACAGTCTATTTTCCGAATYTCAGCAGACAAGAACTTCTTTGGACTATAAACTCAACACATATTCTACCTATCCAGTCAACTGCAGAACTGACAAAAGTGTGGAGCAGGATTAGTACAATTGAACAACAACCTTCAAGTAACCCAAGTTAAATCTGTGACCAAAGYTGGGGAGGTGAGTAGCTGAGATTAGCCCAGCAGGTCATAGTATCTCATCACGTGCCCATAATCTGATCTTTACAGGGCACTAATTTTCCTGTCTGGACTAGGATGCAACAGGCCTCGATGCAGAAGCCAGTCTTGGCTTGAAAAGGCAAAGGTCAAGAGYGAGAACCTCTGAGTTAAAGCGTTTCATCAGCCGTTAGAGGGTAAGGATTTTGGGGAAGGTTCAGTCTGAGSTGCAGCCTTCCTCACTGAGCTRGACCAGCTCCAGTGCAGAGCAGCCCAAGGCACTGGCACAGCTCAGCAGCTCTTTTCATCTTTCATCAGTTCTTCAGGCTGCAGAAAAGCTRMCACGGTGCCAAGGTGGCTGTATCCCTACCAGGTCATGGGAGAGGCTGTAAGACCGTGATGGGGTATCTGCCCAAGAAGGGCACGGGAGGGCTGGGGGGATGCACTAGAGCGGCGCTAGGTGACCCACCTGGCCGTCTTCCACTTATGGCAGCTAACCACAGTTTAAAACACGTTTTCCACAGCTTTGAAACCTGGCTGCATTTTGGCAAGACGTTTTCCACAAGACAGAGGGCAGGAAACAAGGAAAGGAAAAGTACAGCTGAGATTTGGGTTTCCATGGCAACTTGTTTCCTGCTTCCCCCTGAAACTGGAGCACTTTAAAAACAGGTAAATCAATAAAGAAAACAAAAAGAAAAAAAATGCTGAGTAGAACATTAAAAGGAGAGGCAGAAGCTTCGTATCTGTCATCAACAGGAAAGAGACAGTAGTATTATGAAGGWCTTTATTAAACGAAACGATTACAGCAACTGGAATGAGGCAGAAGACTCTTCCTCCATAGGAAGGTCAGTGRAAAATATCTTTACTCCTGCTTCCCCTTCTCCCACCAAGGAAGTAGGCAAGAGTCTACTGGGGAAGAGCATTTTCCAGGTGAGGCTTTGGCATCAGAGCACTAGAGGAATTTAAGACCTGGAAAGAGAGAAAGAGACTATGTGGGGAGTGTCTCCACAGGGTGAGGGAAATACCCAACAATCTCCAATGATCTTGTGGTTCCTTGCAGCAGTAACAAGAGCACACTCTCCACTTTCCAGCTTCAAAACGTCCCTGTCCCAAATTTCTTTTGCTCATATGTAGAGAAACTTCAGGTTTGGACATCAGCTTTACCATGGCCTCSAAACAGGACATGGGACAGAACCTTGAAGCCCAGKCTCCCATAGGAAAAGAGAATTTCTMTTAGAGACAAATTTGTATTTTTCTTTCTGGCTAAACTCTGCTGTAAATTATAAAACCTGAAAAAAACACACATACTAAACCAGAAGCCCTAAGTCCACATCATAAATCAACCTTGGGGACAATGACGTAACTGCATTTGGCCAGGAGGGACCTGGGAGCTGTGTCCCCTGGATTCTTTATCTTTCTGCACCAAAGTAGTAAAGCTGTGTGAGCAAAGACTCCCTGTCAAACGGCCCCGTGGGTCAGTATCTCACATTACCTTCTAGAGCTCAGCCAACAAAATTGATAACGACAAGATGCAGGATGGTGTTGGCAAAGAGGAAATCAGCAAATGCCCGTTCTGGTGAAATGCCCTGGAATTCGCCTTTGTTCTGGGGGTTGATCTGGATCCGCAGACACACTGTGTATGAGAGAGAGAGAGAGAGAGAACAAGTTGTTAAGGATCAGAAAAGGAAACCAAGTCAGGAAGCAAGGCCTTGCCTGGGCAGCTCACCACAGCCCGAGTCACTGCTCCACCAGGGCGCTACAAGAGAAAAAGCTGTCTAGTTTGCTACAAGCTGAGCAGGACACAGGCAGGGACACACATGGGGACTCATACAGGAACCGCCCTCCCAGACCACACCATCAATAACTGGTGGCCAGTTAGGTCTTGAGAGGAACAGGCTTACCATGAGATGGCACTGCCAGGGAAACAACTGCACGTAAAGTATGGCCGTGCAGCAAAAAGGYATTTTTTGTGCATGATGGGAGAACAACATCGAAAACCAGTTATTGCCAGGGCCTGCGGTCAGCATGGAGTGACTGCTAAAGAAGGACATTAACACAAGATGCCAAGTGGGAGGATTCCTTGCCTGCCAGAGAGAAGCAGAGACACCCTGGATTTGATAAGAGAACACTGTACCGTGAGAAAGGGGCAGCTTGCGTGGTGTGTTTTAGGCAGCACCCAGCAGGTCCACAGCATTTGTGCAACATCCTGCTCAGGAACAAACTGGGGCATCTATGGTTTGTTCTATGGCTACTCCGCAATGCCTCGCGTTTGCTAGGGGACCACAGCTCAGAGACGCTCAGTAGCTCACAGAGACTGAGCGGCCGGCCGCGGACCACCTTTGAGGCTGGTATCATGCCGAGAACATTTGATTTTTCCAAGGTAATCATGCAGGATCCCAGGCTGCTACACTGCCGTGAGCTTCCGAGGTATTTRCTCCTGCTTTTGTTTGCTAAAGGGATTTCATGGCTGACGGAAGAATCCCCTTGTTGTCAGGTGAGGATTGGGATTGCTACAATTCCAGCTGCTAAAAGGACTCCGTGGCTGCCAGAACAAGCCCTGAGAGTCGCTAGAAGTCACTTGCACGGTTGCGACAGAGATTTCCGRGCTGCCTGGGGAAGCCTGAGGGCTGCTAAGGCAGATCCCACGTAGCTAAAGGTATTTGTTGGCTGTCAGGGAAGGTTTGGGGGGGGGGGGCACTAATGGCATTTCACAGTTAGTGACGGGAGTCCATGGTGGCCAGGGAAGGTGTGGGCGCTGCTCGCGCTGCTCCCTAGTTGCCATAAAGCAGCAGGCTATTTCTAGGGGGACACTGTGACCGCCAGGGCGCCCCCAGGACCCCGCGGCTGCCCCAGGCAGTTCGGGCCTGTGAAGGGAAGTCCGTGACAGCCAAACGGATCCTGCCGTTACCAGGATGGCCCTACGGTTACCGGGGGGAGGGCAAAAGGGCGACGGGCCTGGCGCACTGACCGCCGAGGATGAAGCTGCCGACGGCGGAGATGAAGCCGCTGAGGAAGGAGTTGAAGGGGAAGGTGCCGACGCCGAGGCAGTAGCCGAACTGGAGCGCGCCGGTGAGCAGCACGTAGAGCAGGTAGGCGTCCAGCACCTTGAGGCGGCTCGGCGTGCCGCTGCCGTACTCGAGCAGGAAGCGCCGCACGACGGAGCCGAGCGAGCCCGCGCCCGACATGGCTGCGCCCGACATGGCTGCGCGCGCCACGCACAGCGCCGGAAACGACCCTGACAGCCACTTCCGGGCCGCTCCGGAGGCGCGCATGCGCAAGGACGGAGAGCGTTGCTGCGCGGGCGCTCCTGAAAGGGCGTGTCCAGGACTGTTGCGCAGCCGCACTTGCTGTGCCAGGAAAAGGGCGGAACTCCGGGACGCCGCCTCCCGTGTGCGCTTGCGCGGTACGTTCCCCGCGCAGGCAGATTCGAACATTTCCATTACATTCCTGTGGTCC